ATCCAAGACACTGACAGTCATTTGCAAAACTTCAGTAATGAATGTAAACATTTGCAGTGAAAATGTTGATCTTTGTTACTGGTAATTTTTCTACATTCCCCATAACAAGTGATACTTTTACTTTCATGATTTCTAACCTCAGGAAGAAAATTATACTTCTGTGTTAGTGCTAACTCAACTATTCTAAAATAATCATGACAACAATTTCTTGGAAGAGGTGATTGGTGAGGATGTGTTACCCTTACAAAGCCCTTGCTGCAGCTGAGAATAGAGAAGTCAGGACATTCCCTTGAAGATGGCATATTTTTATTTTTTTTTTCCTAATTCCATGGGAAAGTAAGGAAATTCCAGTTTCATTTCCACTGAACAAAAGGAAGCTAAAAACTCTCTGCAGTATCTGCTCTGTAAAGGTAACAGCTGAAGCACATGGAATCATTTACTCAAGTTATCTTTTAAATTCTCAGGAAAAAAAAACAAGCCCTAAAATTAAATCTTCTCCTAGAAACCAGTGCACTGCAGCGGGACAGCTCTGTCATGCAAGGAAAGAGCTAGGACAATAACTGCTCAGGGCTGCTTCGTATAAATGTCATGATGACAGTTGGCTCAATTGTTCTTGTCCTTTTGCAATGCATGCGATTTTGTGGCAGTAGGTTACATTTCCAGACGGGCAATGCTTCAGCAATTACATGGAATCAGTACATTCTCACACGACGAGCTTCACTATACTGCTCACACATGGATGAACAAAGGTAAGACTCATAAACACTGGCTTCGTTTTTATCCTAGCATGTGAGTTGAAGTGTCCTCTGTGTTTCTGTCAGGGAGGTGGGTAGCAAGTTACAGGTTTTGCAGCTTTACAGAAGCCTTCTATTTGTATGCTGCTGCTCGTTGCTGGGATTTAACACAGTGCAGTGTTACGAAGAAAGTTGGTTCCCGAGTTTCCATCTGCATGTCACTAACCCAAACCATGCATTGGACAGGGCTGAATGAAAGCATCTTGAAGAAAGCGGGACTACCATTAGAGGAGTAGTGGTGTTTATATTGTGTTGTCTTAACCCATGGAATGCAGCTTTTTGAAATGCACTGACTGCAGATAATAATGCTTTTTCTGCTCAGAGCTGCTCATAGTCTAACAGCATCTCCCAAACAGCAGTCACTCGTTAGCTTTCGGGGACACTGGACCACTCTGATGGTGCTCTCAGCTCTTCTGTTGCTAGCTGCAGGAACAGCCTGGAGACCTATTTGGAAAGAAAGAAGAGCCAAAAAATCCAGGTCGGCAAGAAGAAGAGGAGGAAAAAGGACATGGTTGTCTGAGACAGACAGCTGGATGGGAGCAGAGGGATCCTGGGAGTTGGATATGTGCCTCTCGGAGAAAAGGGAATACTGGACTCCCTCAAAGCAGGAGGCAATGTAGAGGCAGGAGCGCGTTTATGGGAAAGTGTCATGTAGCAGGATGTTCTGTGGAGGAGGAGAAGAGGGAAAGAGAACTGAGGACCAGAGAAGTATCTGCTTTTACATATGAATGTCCTGTCCCCTTACTGAAGCAGGGAGTCCAAATAAATTTTGTTTGACCTGGGTTACAGGGAGTACCTGGAAGTGCTTCAGACTCATGAAGAAAGATGTAGCTGATATTCTCCCTACACCCATCATGCAGGGCAAGAAGAGGAAAATAGAAAACCCACAATATGGCGGTTGGGTTAAGGATTACTACAGATTGGCAGTGTTCGTACAGGTCAACTTTTAGATGGGACATTGTTTCACAACATAGCAATCATGCTACAAAAGGATATGGCAAGTTTTTAAAATTTCCCAAAGAGTTTTTAAAATTTCTTATGTTTCTCTAGGATACAACAGAGTGGTTTCTAAGTGGAGAATTTGGGGTATAATCTCTTTGAGAAAGGAGTCCCAGGGATTAGGCCTAAACTAAATTTGATCCCAAAATCTAGGAAGAGGAGAGATTTCTACCTTGCTTTAGAGTTAGCCCATAAAGTCACACAGTGGTTGCAGCCTTTTGTAGTTTTTGGTTTGCTGTTCAGATGTGTTTAATGACATCAAATTTTGACATGTGTTGTGCTGGTCTTTAGAATTTCAGTTTGAGTAGTGTATTTAACAGAAAATGGCACAGTATGTTCCCAAAAGTGTCCCAAAGATTATATCTGTTAGTGTCAGTTCTGTGAAGATGTATTAGTTAACTGTACTGCACAGGAGTGAGGAACATTTCTTGTTAATTTAGGGAGGGAGAAAGCTTGATGACACATGCAAATGGCACATCGTATATTTTAAGTTCCGTGTATGTCGCCTACACTAGCTGCATTTGTCCTTTCAACATCTTTCTCAGTTTGAGCAGTACCATATTTGAATTTTATGTGACTGTGATATTAATACACCTGTTAAAGGGAAAATTAATTACATAATAACATTTTTTTTTTACAATTAGGTACCTGTTGGGGGAAAAATAAATAACTAAATATATATATATATATATGTGGAGCCCTGATGAAATTGCTGTCTTCCCCTTCTTTAGCTGGCAGCTGTCACTGTGCTTAGGAAGGAGCTGGGCCAACCAGTCCACTGCAGGAGAAGTACAAAGTGCTTGGGGTTATGGGAGACACTAATTCTCAAGGTATTAGAAGCTGTGTTTGCACACAAATAAACAATCCTAGTTTTATGGAGATACACTTAGCAGTACAGAGCCAGAACTAGAAAGCTACAGCAGTGCCTACGTGAAGGTGAAACGGGGTGAGGGCAGTGCTTGGAAGTTCAAGTAGGCGTAAGTTAACTCTTCTGTGAGAGTGGGACTGAAGTACCAGGGATGGCTATCCTGTGAAGCTTCTGTTCGACAAGTTACGGATGCCCCCAAAGAACAGAAGCTGGCCCAAGTGTGAAAAAGCAGCAGAAGAATCTGCCCCCATCCCTGTGTGCCAACTTTTAAGGTAGCATATGTAGTAACGCTTAGTGTGGTTCCAGTAGTGCTTTGCCATGGTTCTCTCCAGTCTTTCTCAGGTAGTTGCTGTGAAGATGATGATTTCAGCAGTTGACACTGAGTCATCTGAGTAGGGGAATACAATGCTGCAATATGTTGTGCGAGGAAGAGATTCACCAGCAAAACTGCTGCTTCTGGTGGGGAGCAGGAGCCATATATACGGTATGAGGCTTAGCCCAGTTTTAAGTTGCAGTACATGAGAAAGTCCTTTTCTAATTTTATTCTTCAACCATGGCAGAAAGTATTCCTCTTTTTAGATATTTCCACAGTTCTCTCCCCTGAGCTGTTAGAAGGATAATTTCACACTAGACATGGATCTACTTCATAGTCGTAGGTTCAGAAGTGTGCCTTTTATCTCCGGTCCAATAGCACCTTTTATCTCCAATAGTCCAATTCCACCTCCAGAACCTCCCAGTCCTCTAGTTGTTATTGTTGGAGAAGAGCATGTGAGGTTTCCAATGATCTAGCCCTATTTTTGACTACAGGTTTATAGCAACACTGGCAGAAATTGTTTTGCAGAGACTGTGCTAGCAGACAGCCCTACTCTTTTCTTCCCTCTGGGTCCTTTACTCTTCAGTAACTTTTTAGCCTCGGTGAGCTTTATCGCCTCCAATGTGTTGCCACCAGCAGCTCCTGCTAATGCCAGGAGCTCCTTCACACAGCTTTGTGCTTCCTGCCTGGCACTGGGCAAAGCAGAGCAGAGATCACTTGCCCTACAGCAGTCAGACCCTGTTTCTTGTTATTTCACTCTGCAAAGTTCAGAGACCGTCTCCATACCTACTATTTGCAGCAAGGACAATAGGGCTCTGTTTCCAGCTGGCTCTTGCTGTTGCCTGCTAACGCTTGGGCGGAAAGATCACAGAATCATCTTGGTTGGAAAAGACCTTGAAGCTCCTCCAGTCCAACCATTAACCTCACCCTGACCGTTCCCAACTCCACCAGATCCCTCAGTGCTGGGTCAACCCGACTCTTCAACCCCTCCAGGGATGGGGACTCCCCCCTGCCCTGGGCAGCCCATTCCAACGCCCAACAACCCCTTCTGCAAAGAAATACTTCCTCAGAGCCAGTCTGACCCTGCCCTGGCGCAGCTTGAGGCCATTCCCTCTTGTCCTGTCGCTTACTACTTGGTTCAAGAGACTCATCCCCCCTCTCTGCACCCTCCTTTCAGGGAGTTGTAGAGGGCCATGAGGTCTCCCCTCAGCCTCCTCTTCTCCAGACTAAACCCCCCCAGTTCCCTCAGCCGCTCCCCATCAGACTTGTGCTCCAGACCCTGCACCAGCTCCGTTGCCCTTCTCTGGACACGCTCGAGTCATTCAATGGCCTTTTGGGGTGAGGGGCCCAAAACTGAACCCAGTCATCGAGGAGTGACCTCACCAGTGCCGAGTACAGGGGTAAGATCCCTCACCACACAGCTGTTGCCAAGGGCACAGAGGAGGTTTCTCACTTCGCTCCCTGGGAAGCCAGAGTTGATTTCCCCTGAGATGTTTTTGATGCTGGGATCAGTTTACCAATGGGTGTCTTTTCCCCAGACAGCAGTTATCAATAGCTTGACAATAAACTGTGGCTGTGAACTCGGTGCTAGAACGTCCTACTGATGGAGCCATGCACAGAGCAAAGGACACGTGCTCTGAAGCTGGTAATGGTGTGTCCCCTCATGTCCTGTAGCAGTAAGATACATGGATTAATTTTAAATGCATTGGTAACATATGGGCCTAAAATTATTTCATGCTATTTAGAACAAGTCCTTTGAGCTAAGACTGTTGTAAATTCTAATTAGTCTGTACTAATCTCCATAAGAAACAGCCATTTCTAATGCAGATCTAACTGAGGTCTGACAGCATTTTCCACACTTATTTATACACTGGCAGCAAGCTGGTATTGTGCTACTATCAGAATGTTTGCTCAGGTTAGGAAAACTGTATTTTCTGTACTCTACAGGGAGTTTGCATTTGCTGCAGGCTTGTGCCTTTTCTAGGACTGCCAATTTACGCCTGTTTGCTTGTATGTATTTACGCAGAAAATAGGGAAAACTCCTTCAGCCGTTCCCGAAGCTCCAGCGTGTCCAGTATCGACAGGGACTCAAAGGAGGCAATCACAGCTTTGTACTTCATGGAGTCCTTTGCCCGAAAGAATGACTCTGCTGTCTCCCCCTGTCTCTGGGTTGGAACGGGCCTCGGTATGGTCTTAATCCTCTCCCTTAATCTGCCTGCTAGTGACGACTTACGGCAGTCAGAGCCGGTCATGGTGTTGCCAAGTGGTAAGAGTGCAGCTCTTTTCCTGTTTATTATCTGTCTTGGTACAACAAGGGGAATAACTGCATGATTTTGTATGGCCTTTTGGGCAGGATTTTCTCGATACATATATGAAGCAACGGTCACTCACTGCATAGAGGGCACACAGGTAAAGATGCAGCTTGATGAACTGAGTCACTCTGGTTGTGTTATTTTCCAAGATTACCTTGTGTCATGGGCAAATTTACACGTTTCCCATGAGGAAAAGGAAATGAGCAGAGTTCCTTCATATTGTGAAATCACAGTCCTGTGTACAGGTTTGATGCAATCCTATATCTAGGGTGCTGTGAACCGTTTGGCTGTCTTACTATCGAAAAGCTGCAAAAAAGCAGAAGGGAGTTCAGGAAAGGAAACAAAAATGTTGGCAGGTTGATGTACCAGGAGAGATCCTTGGCTGAGTGAGTGACAGATGGTATAGCAGTGAGAACAGAGGGCTGAGAGAGGTCAGGTCTGAGGAGAGGCAGTATGCGCTTAGTATGTTTAAAATAAAATAATGATGACAAAAATCAGAGGATGCACAGGAATAGAGGTTTCTCACCCCCAGTTTGTTTAGAAAAGCAATGCTGGAAGGTCACCAGACTAAGGAGAGCAATTTCACTGCTGGGGAATAACTACCCTACTAGCATAAAGTGGAGATAAACAACAGCCTGTGTTTATGGTATTCAATAGCATGTATTATATAGATTATTTGGTATAGGCTGCCTGAGATCTTTTCAGTACTGGCAGCCTGTTTGTTCACTTTCTTTTGCGGTCAGAAAGAACGGAGAGAGGAAGACTTGTCACATTAGCTAGATCAACCCGTGTGCTCTTATTTACAAAAGCTGAATGGCAGCTATGCTGCACTCGTTCAGAGTCCTGACAACAAGCTTAACTATGGTGCCAGTGAGAGGATATTATGTTTTGCAGGCACAGTTCTGACCCTGAAAGGAGCTGTGCTGACCTTTGCGTGCTTGGACTGCATGGGGACATTGACACATCCACCATATGAAGTATGGAGGGACCCACACAGTGCTGATGATGGTGAAAAAACAAGAAAAAGGAAACTTGTCATGCATTCCCCTTCTTCCTCCCAGGATATGGGTGATCATCAATTTGCAGTCATTTGTTCAGAAAAACAAGCCAAAGTCTTCTCATTGCCTTCCCAAACATGTCTTTATGTCCACAACATCACCGAAACGTCCTTTTTATTGCGAGCAGATGTGGTCACCCTCTGTAACAGCGTCTGTCTGGCGTGCTTTTGTGCCAATGGGCACATCATGACACTGAGGTACTTATCTAACTGATCTCGTGGCAAAACTAAGCAAAGAGGTGGCACGGTGCCATCACGTTCCACTTGTGTTGGGGGGGGGGGGGGGGGGGGGAAGTATTTAATGCCCTGCCTTGCCTGCTGCCATACCCTGGCCAGTCTCCACACGGGGCGTTAAGGCAGCGGCACAGCCAAGCAAACTCCTTTATTTCCTGGTAATCCCCCCACCTGTGACAATTTGATGGCTGATGATTTCTAACTATCATAAAATTAACTATCAAAAAATAAAGCCCTGGTAATTTTGCTCAGTTATGACAAGTATAGAGAAAGTGAGGCATAGAAAGGTACTGTTGGTCCAGTGTGAAGCAGCACAGCCCATTCTTGCCGTTTTGGAAGATTTTTCCGCTCAGAGCACCTAGTTTTCCTTCCTTGTCATCTCCGGCAGAGAGCTGACCATGCAGTAGCCCTATAGTTGTGCTCTCAGATTCCCTTACCCCCTTTCCCCAGCCAAGCCGTTTAGATTTTGGAAAGTGCCATCCAAAATGGCAAACCAAAAGCTGGAGGGCTGCAAAAGGTGATGCTGGAGCCTTTGTCTGTGGGGCGCATGCAGCTGCCCAGCCATGTGGCACAGCCATACTGTGCCACATGCATGGCCCGAATCCAGGCAGAAGGTCATCAAGGCAAGGCAGCTGAAACTTCTACATGCAGGGAAACGAAGTATGACGGGAAGGCAGCATGTTTATGGCAGAATTTTTCAGCTTAGAGCTGCACTTTATTGCAGTTATGAAAAGCATAAACTTAAATGTTGGTTTAAAATGCAGCCACAGAGCAGGTGTCTGATGTGTGGCAGCTGGTAACTAACCTCAGTACCTACTTCTCTTCAGCTTGCCCAGCCTTCGCCCACTGCTGGACATCAACTATTTGCCTGTAACAGACATGAGGATAGCGAGGACCTTTTGTTTCACTAACGAAGGGCAAGCTTTGTATCTCAGCTCTCCCACAGAGATCCAGCGCCTGACCTACAGCCAGGAGATGTGTGACAATCTGCAGGTAGAGCTCACACTCTTACTTTGGTGCCTCTGTGCTTCTGTAAATTGCCTTTGAGATGTATATTGCCATGTGTTTACAGCTGGATTTTACAGAATCACAGAATGATCTCGGTTGGAAAAGACCTTGAAGATCATCCAGTCCAACCACTAAGCCCACGCTGACCGTTCACAACTCCACCAGATCCCTCAGCACTAGTATTAGTATTTGAAGTGAAGGCTGTGCTGTCGGGGCAGGACAGACATGTTCCTTTCTGCTTGCCCTGGCTGAATGATGCCAAAGCAGCAGGGAGAGGTCAGCAGCTCTGTGGCTGTTTGGACTTTTCCATGACACTGTCACCTTGCTCTTGTGCCCTCACGGCTGGCCCAAGCCTGCAGCCTGCTGGCTCCGTACAGAGGCAGATTTGTGCCCAAATGGGACTCTTCACAGCCTGCCTCTCTCAAAGTCCTACTGTATGAAAGACCAGCTGTTAAAAATGACTGAAGGGAAAGAAGGGGAAGCTACAAATGGATAGCAGCTATGGCAGTTGGTACCAGCATGTGTCCAATCACACAGCAACCGCCTCAGTGAAAATAGGAATTCCTTCCCATATTTTTATCATTTTTAATTTTAACTCTAAAAATATCTTAATACCTGCAGCTTTCAGAAGATAGGTGGGAGCATGAGACAAACCAGTGTGGTTAGTATCAAAAAATATGCTCTGTTTTAATATATTTTTAAATTATTTACCATTGTTTTTACTCCGATAATTGGTACTCCCCTTCTTCCACATGAGGAAAGCATCTCCTATTGTACATTAAAATACAGTAGCTACAGAAATGGTCTAATTGAAATAATTTATTTTGAAGAAAAGGTCTTTACAATGTTAGATTTAAGTTGGTTGGGTTGGTTTTTTTTTACAATGAAAATGCAAATTAAAAAGTCATTTACTGAAGAGGAGGAATTGTGAGAGGTTACGGGGAGAAACATGAGTAATAAAAGGGAAGAAAAGAGGGGGAATGAGTTCTAGGTTATATAATTAGCAGTGAACTAGAAATATAAAATAAATGGTCCTGCCAGCACTCATTATGCCCTAGGGACTAACATGTGCTGAGCCGCTTAACTCACATCACAGCATTGTCTGTCTTAAGTCTGTAAAACACTGCAAGGATTGAGCTTTGCACACAAGCTTTTCCGTGTCAGAGATTATTTAGCTGGCAACCAATTTTAAAACGATCAAAAGGTTTGATCAATGTGTCTTAGAATATGGACACATGGTGAGAGGCTGTGACAAGCTAATTTTTTTTTTTTTAAATTAACCTTAATAGCGTCATATGGTAACCAACCAAAGGGAAACAGCCCTTGTTTCTCTGTACTGCCAGACTGCTTTGTATGGCTGCTTGTATCTTGGCTTTTATGCAGAGGACAGTAAAAGGCTTGCACAGTCTTTCTGTGCCTACAAAAAGCAGGTGACCCAGTATCACCTGCTACCTAGGAAAAGAAAGCCAGGCTGCATGAGAGCTTCCACTTAGGCTCAAAGGGCTGCAGTAATTTTTCTCCCCAGAGCAGGTGACGGTGCAGAGGAGCAGTAGCAGTCCCAGGGCTGTCCCAGCACTCAGCTTCCCAGGAGCCGGGCATGTGGTGGAGCACAGCTGCTCTATCTGCCCATTGAGGCTTGGCTGAGCAAACACAGAGCTGAGCAACAGGGCAGCAACCGTCCTCAGCGCATACAGCCTCCCTGGCTTCAAACACTAACGGGACTGTACACTTTCTTTATCAGTTTAAGTCTGGAGAGCCCACTTTTCTTAGTACTGCTGCAAATAAATCGGAGCCGGAGGTTGACTGCTCCAAGACCTGTCACCATGACCATGTGTATTGAGCATTACTGCCAACACGGGGGGGCACAGCGGAGGTTATAGGGAAGGTGATGCCATTTTGTTTAAAAACAAACCCCACAAACAAAACACAAAACCCAAAGAAACAACAAACCACCGAACTCTCTGAACTGCTACCAAGCACTGAACTCAGGAATGTATAAAAACAGCAAGCCCTGCTTGCCTGGATAATCACTAAAGGAAAACTCATAATTCAGAACAAATTGCTTATTTAATTATAGTGTCGCCTCTGCTGTTTGTTTCTAAGCAAAATGTGATCTTAGCACCCGTATTTTCACTCTGTATTGCTTATAAATTTTTTTCTCTGGGGTAATGAACATAAGGCTGGGCAGTGACAAACCAAGTCCCTTTGAAAGCATGAGTGAATCAAGTTAGCCCAACTATTTGCCTGTCATGAAACACAGATGTTAAGTACTCCATACTGTTCACACAACAGACATTTAAAACTAATTGATTAGATCCAATGCATGCAGCTCATTAATGCAAATAAAGAAAATACCTAGAATTGCTTTTGCCTCACTAATTTTTTTTCACATGGACTTTTGTCTGACACTGCTAGGACATGCTTGGGGATTTGTTTACTCCTGTGGAAACACCAGAAGCCCAAAACAGAGGCTTTCTCAAAGGACTTTTTGGAGGAAGTGGTCAAGCTTTTGACAGAGAGGAGCTTTGTAAGTAATTTATTAGGGTTTGGGTTGGTTTTTTTGTTAGAAATTAGTTCATGGAAATGCCTTTGTCACCTAGGAATGGAGTGGTTCACAAGATTTAGATCACTAATGAAAAGTTAAAGATGTCAGCATGAAGAAAGGGGAGAGTCCTCAGTTGCCTTCCCACTATTCCTTTACCTGGGCAGCTTCTTTTCAGCAGTTGGGAGTGGGTGGGCAGGGGCACAACTGCACCATCGATGTGCTGGTGCACAGAGCAAAATCTTCCACACGAGCGTTTGATGTGCAGGTGGCACGAGTGTCGCTGCAGCGAGGCTGCAGCTTGAGGGCAAGAAGCATGGGCAGAGCCCCCACCAGGAGCTCATTCCTGTTTGTTTGTCCATGTCTCCTTTGCAGTCGGCGAGGCCACAGCGGGAAAAGCCTCCCGCAGCCTGGCCCAGCACATCCCCGGCTCGGGTGGAATCGAAGGCGTGCGAGGAGCTGCAGGAGGAGTCATCGGGGACTTGACTCGTGCCCGCATCGCCCTGGATGAGAGAGGACAGAAACTGGGAGAGCTGGACGAAAGGACCGCGAGCATGATGGCCAGCGCAGAGGCCTTCTCCAAACATGCACACGAGGTAGGGACCCTGGCACCACACCCCCAGAACTAAGCCTTTGCTTCCCTTCAGGAAAGTCAAGTAGGGTTCACCACGTTGGTCTAGGTGTACTCATGTTAACTGACACACCATTTTTCTTTCCCCCAAACAATGAGAATGCTGAAAATCCACCGCCACTGCACACCTCCTTCCCTTCATATGTTCATGAATGAGCATCCATTGTTATCCTCTGAATTTAGAACGTGGCACTTCCTATCTCTTTACTTTCTCACTAATTCATTATGATTTTTATTTTTTTTTAAGCCACTTAGTACAGTACATCTATGCAGTAGGGCAGAAAACTGGTAGGTGGATGTGTATATAGGAACCTTTAGAGATCTCAATGGGGAGAAGAGAACGTTTCCAGTACAACATTGTGGTATGGTTATATAGAATAGGGCTTGCCTGGAATAGACAGCTTCTGTGCTTCAAGCTGGAAATGGAAAGCTCTTCCATTCCACACTGTTTAGTCGATTCCCAGCCTTAAGTGATTTTCCTTGAAGATAAAACAACATTAAAGAACACTTGCCAAAATGCATAGGGTTTTTTTCATTTAACATGCCTCATGTTTCTGGACAAGACCTTTATATTTTTACTGGCTTTTGTAAGTGTGAGGCAAAAATATGCAGAAAGAATGTGCCCCGAAATGCAAAAAGTTTATATATTCGGGTGTATGTCCTCTGCTCCCATGGATAAGCTTCTTTCTATAGTAAAATCCAAGTTCCTGGTTATTCCCACACCTCTGCACTTTTCTTCTGGAAAAAGCAGTTAAAGCTCCTGAGGAAAAAAATCTTCTCATGAACAGCAATAGCAGGTGATTATTATTTTTTTTAAATGTAACAATTATTAAGTTAAATACAAAGTCTCAGCGGATTCAAGACCTGATGACACTGTTATTAAAGTACTGCACTGCTCTTCCTTTTTTACTTACGAAGTTAATGGGCACTTAACATGACAGTTAATGCATAATACCTCTTATACAGAAGAGTGGTTTATATCCATTTGTTTTGTTTCCCATTTCTATAGGTGATGCTGAAATACAAGGACAAAAAGTGGTACCAGTTTTAGACTTTCAAAGAAGCTGCTTGTGGCTTTAAGAACACGGTTCAGGGAAGCAACATTTCTTCCCAAATCTACCAGTCACTGGCCAGAGACAATTTTTTTCCTCCTAGAAGATGTTTTCCTGTTACTATTATTGGATTCATCACAGTGGGAGTCAAGGAGAAATTTTACAGACCATGACACAGAAGCTAGAATCATGTGGGTCTTAGTCCAACAGCTGGCTCATGCGGTAGCCAGTTTGTTTCCAAAAGGAACTCAACCATCACTGTGGCATGTAGTTTTTCAGAAGCTGTAGGTATGAACTGTGGGGAGTGTGTCTGGTTAAAAATATTCTGTACAAACTCAAATGTTAATGCACTTATAAAACTTTGCATGACTAATTGACATCTTAAAAAAAAAAAAGAAAATAAAAAAAGAAAAAGAAAGCATGTTGTGACCGAAGAAAAATGGGATTTATTTCTATCCTGAGCAAAAAAAAAAACAAACCCACAAATGGCAAAAATCTTTATTTTTTAAAAGTGACATTACAAAAAGCCAGTACATTTCAAGCATGTTTCCTACTGTTCTCAACATAAAAATAAGTTGAGCTGCATTTTCCTATCTATTTCCCTTGAAATCAGTGCTCTTTAACTCCTACCAGAAAATAAATAAATCCAAAATCCTCTGCACAAAATCTACAGATTTTTGAAGTAGTTAGACAGGCATCATCTGAAATGTCATTAAAACATGAGCATAAATGGTTTATTTGCAATTCAGAGCACATACCATGTTATCCTTACCTGTACTTTTAAAAACATGCTCTAGATTCATCTCCATTGTTCTTGAAGGGGGCTGTGGCATTTTTCATCCCTGTGGTGTCTGTATCACTTGGTTGCCTTATTTCTCAGCAGCAAGAATAGAAAACCAGCTCTTGAATTCAGGAAAGGCAAGATGAGAAAGCACAGTCCTGTCCAGATCTGCTCACAGAAGCTGCTTAGCAGCTTGTAGAGCAGCAATTTTTCTTAAGTGGTCAGTTGAAATTATGCTAAGGAAACTGCACAGTAACCCCCCAAACGCTGGGGAGGGGGAGAGATCAGAGCAGCAAAACTCAGTGATGGGTCAGGGGAGGAGCACAAAGAGCAAACAATTGTCAACATGCAGTGCTGAATTGGCATATATATAGAAAAACCACCATGGGTGAGTGACAATTGATTTTCTGCTTGCACTGCTAGAAGTGATTTGCTTCTGCTTCAAAGTGGCTTCTACAGTGAACTCTGCAGAAAACTCTCCAACCTGCAACTACAGAAAAGAACCTGTTACCCGTCTACGTGCAGATTCCTAGTCCCCGAGTGTGCTGCAGCCACAGTAGCCCTACAAGAGCCTCACAGGTCAACTGTTAAGTTAGAAATTTTTCCAAGATATTTTTTCAAGACTAGCTTTGAAAGAAGGCACTGAAGACTTGTTTTCATGTGCCTGGACGTAGTTTCAAATTAGAAAAGTGAGGAAAAGCAGCATTTCAAAATTTTCTTTATGAGAAGACTGATATCCTGTCCCTTCAAAGGAGTCCTAACAGACACTGATGCAGACAGGCAGCATCCCCCTCCTAACTTGACCTTAACTTCACTGCTTTTTATATCACCCTAGTGTTCAGATGATCTCTCTCAAAGATACTTTTCCCCCATCCTTCCTTTTCTTACAACAAAATAAACCCCAGGAATCTGTACAGTCCAGAAGTCTGACTTCACTATCAGCCCAACTGTACAAGTCAAAGGGCTGGAACAGATTTGAGGTGTTAAATTCACATTGTAGCACAAGTGGGATTTCACGCTTTACAGGATTTTTATATTTCTCTGTGGGAAAAATCAAAATTATGGCCCTGACAGGTCTAGCTCAGCTCAACAAGTTTCTCCTGTGACAGATAAACTGCTCTATAATTGTGAGAAATGTAGAAACTTGTTAGGAAGAAAGGTCAAAGCCCAGGTTTCTGCTGAGAGTTAAGGACTTGGAGTTGTCCATGAGCTGAGAAGATGTCTGGGGAGGGGCGGGATGGTGTGAGGAAACAACAAAAACTCACCACACTGATGCCAATAGGAACTGGGTTGTAGAACCCCTTCTTGTGTGTGTGAGGAAACACCACTGTAACGAGGCATCTAGAATGAGACGTAAATGAGAACAACATTACAGTGATTCTACCTTGTGTTTAAATGTATATTCATTCTGCCTGTGCTCTGGGCTATACTCCAAAATCACTAGTCTCTGGGCAACAAAATAATTTGGGGCAGCAGATCATTCAAGCCCTCTAATCAACCTTCTAGCCCTTCTTCTTCCTGCCTTCTCTGCTCATATGGAGAAGCCAAGCAGAGTTCACTAACACCACACCAGGGCTGTCCCACCAGCATGTCTTCTGTACCAGCTGTACACTTGCTTCTGCACAGGGCCAGTGCCAATGGAAAGGTCGCTACAGTTCCAGTGTGGCACTTGTGCACCCACAGGCTATGGGGCCAGTTTCCGCTGTGAAGTGGTGTTTACACAGGCAGCCTTTAGGAAGGCAGCCCGTTAAGGGGTACCACGGGGGGCCCAGGCCGCAGTTACTTCACTTTGATGACAAGGTAGCCACCAGTTCTGCGTAAGGTTTCAGCTCTACGTCACATGGGTGGCTTCATATTGCAGAGATCCCATTACCTTGATTTCAGTGGAAACATCTTCAGGCCAGAGCTAGAGCCTGCTCGCTCATTTGAGACTTGCATGTAAAAATTTAAGACCAACTTTAATTGCTAATCACAACAGCAATCCCAGAGAGAAAAGTGTCTTCAACAAGTCTTTTACACAATGCCTAATTGACTTTGGCTGCCAACAGTCTCTAGCTTAACACCAGGGGAAAAAACAACCACCTGACAGTAGATTTCCATTTGCATTTTTATGCAACAGAGAAATAGGAATCTAGCATCCCACAAAATTACAATTTTTAATACTAATCTTTTCAGCAGCTTTTCTCTAGTACTCCCCATCAGGTCACAGCTGTATCTTGCTTTCCACACTTACATATTTTACATATTTCCAAACAGGTACAAATTACTATTTCTGTTAAGTTCACCACTTGTGACTATAATTATCAATTTTCTTGTAGTCTGTAGAGATCTAAAAAGTTGTATATGTTTGTATATAGAACATTCTATATATATAAATATATATATGTAATGTATATGTTGTATAAGTTTGTTAGTGCACACTGTTAAATGCTTTCTATCAAGATTTACCATGTACGTGGAAAAAAACCCTTCACTTAAAAACTTCAATGAGGGAGGAAAAAAACTCTTGCCTGGTTGATTTACTGTGAAATGAGGGGGAGTGTGGGATTTTTGAAAGGTCTGACCTGAATGCTACTAAAGGCTGGTAATGAAAGGCATAAAGATGCAGCATTCCAAGCCACGAGCACAGCACCTTACCTGACTTGCTGTAAGAAAACTGAGGACACGAACTGTCGCTGGATGTTGAAATCATGTGCTTTCACCTTTCCCACTAAGACAGCACCACCTCAAGCAAAATCCTAAACTTAGACATATCTTCAACATCACAATCCTCAGTTACAGAAGACCAGATTGGCTGGCAGTATTATTTCAATTTAAAATGTTTTTTGTTGTTTTGGATACCCATGTTCTTCTTTACAGGAGCTCCCTATCACAACCACATCCAAATCCAGATGCACAGAATTCCAGCAGCGCAAACATTACCTCTGGGTTTGACCAGATGTTTTTAATCTGATGCCTAGAGATGTAAACAGACAAGAGTACACAGAGAAAACACATTAAATTAGTTTGTTTATATGTTTTTAAAGTTGGCAAGTCTTCAGTGAAGTATAAGCTCTTTTATTTTGGAAAAAAAAAAAAAATCCATTCCTAGTTTTAACTTAAGCTTCAAATCCTGAATTAAAAGACATGATAAAGGAAATTTTGAGAATCAGTTTTTTGTTTTGTACAATGATCAGTTTTCTAATTTTTTTTATAGTTCTACAATTCAACTATGTACATCAATTAGACATTCCCTATATTACCAGAATATAGCCTGTTAAATAATTTAGCAGAAATAGTCAATTTACTACATATATTGCATAAAATTATCACATTCAGAAATCCTCTGAACCAGTTTATATATTCCTTTTACACAAGCCCTTTCACATCTCAACGTGTGCATTGTAATGAAGATATGCATCTAAAAGTATTTTTTTCAGTATACAATTTAAGAAGTGAAGAAAACACTGCAAGCTTGAATAAGAGCAGTATTCAACCTCAGGACTCCTCCATTTATTTTAAACTGTGTGGATTGTAATACAAGGAAAAGGCAGATTTCTGTTAATTACACCCCTTAAATACCCTGCTCCCCATACATCCTTTTCCATAACCTAAAGGTGAACTCAAGCACAGTATATATCAGTCTTGAATGGTATTTGCCTTGGTATGGTCTTAGTAAGAACACACTCTCTCTCATTAAGAAACTACTTGTGGCCATTTGTAGTCAACTCTTCATTTTAGATGTATAAGCAATAGTCATGTAAATGAGTGTTTCCATTCATGTGTTTTGTTTTGTGATTAAATCAACAAATCAAACATTGTACTTTTTTAAATAGCAACCAATATTCAGATTCAGTGTCAAGGAAATGTGGACAGAATACATGTGGGGTTTGTTAATAAGTCCTTACCTGTCTCTCAGAATGAAGGCTAATCCGGGGTGAACCACACTCCTGCGCTAACCACGTCCTACAGGTACCCTAAATCAGCATCACAAAAGGAAAACTAAGGCATCTTTAACTGAGGCTGTTTTGAGTTCTCAGTAACAACAACAACAACAACAAAAAAAAGAGGGAAAGAAAATAAAGGAAAGAATTGATATTAGTTGGTGTAGTTCTCTCTTTTTTTCCAGCCTCTACTCGTAGATTCTGTCAAAGGTGCAAGGTTTACGTAAAGCCTTTGGGTGGAGTTCATGCTACTTGCTCACTCAGGAATATGGAGGAGCAGCCACAGATGTTGCTGGGGTGGGGTCGGACACCCACCTCCCTCCCTGCCTCCCTCCCACAGCTCACGCAGGGATTAAAAAAAATGGATCCCAGCTGACGTTCCTATGCTTTACCGCAGGGAGCTCACACAGCGCTCGTGATGCCACCAGCCCCCAGCCTTGTACCTGGGCTCCTCAGCCCACTGAAAGCACCCTTCCCCTCACTTCCACCTCAGGCCAAAAGCAGTTACCTACCAGCTGAACCCTCGGGAGGGCAGAAACAAGCTCATTAAAGGGCAATTACAAACCAACATGATTGAGTTGCTCTGCCAGGAGAGGGTCAAAAACATCAGCCAAGGCTACTGGGCTTCCAGCTCCATCTCCTCAGCTACAGATTTATAGGAAAAAACAGCAGGAAACCTCTACAACTCTCCTCTTGATTAAATACAACCACAAAATCACAGAATCATCTCAGTTGGAAAAGTATCTTGAAGATCATCCAGTCCAACCATTAACCTCACACTGACCGTTCTGCTGGGTCAACCCAACTCTTCAACCCCTCCAGGGATGGGGACTCCCCCCCTGCCCTGGGCAGCCCATTCCAACGCCCAACAACCCCTTCTGCAAAGAAATCCTTCCTAAGAGCCAGTCTGACCCTGCCCTGGTGCAGCTTGAGGCCATTCCTTCTTGTCCTATCACTGGTTCCTTGGTTCAAGAGTCATCCCCCCCTCTCTGCACACTCCTTTCAGGGAGCTGTAGAGGGCCATGAGGTCTCCCCTCAGCCTCCTCTTCTCCAGACTAAACCCCCCCAGTTCCCTCAGCCAATCCCCATCAGACCTGTGCTCCAGACCCTGCACCAGCTTCATGGAGCACAGGAGAAGGGCTACAGGACCAAACCAGATCTGATTACATGTGTGTCGCCTTCTGTCACCTGCCCCTCTCCCGCCACTGCCCAGCTACAAGAAAGCACCGAGCACTTTTAGTAGGCAGGGGCAGAAGGAAAGCTGCAGCAGAGAGACCAAGGTGAAACAAGCCTGTGGTCTGCATGTGAGGAGAAAGCCCTAGTAGCTGTATCAAATATCAGTGGCAGGAGTTCCTGCTATCAAGCCCAGGGAAGTTCTGCCCAACACCAGGAGTATGCTGAATCGAAACTTGAGTCGTTTTGACAAAGGGATGCGAGCCGAACAGAACAAGGCTGCTCGGCAGCCCAAGGGGACAGGCTCTCACTGCAAGGAGCCAGGTCACACAGGTTCACACGAGGTGAAGACAAGGCTTTCCTGATGGCCACAGCTATTTGTCAGGACTGGATCTCCACCCAGCTCCCTTTGGCAGACAGACACCCACCTGCTGCTGCAGTAGCAAGGCAAGGGCAGCGCACGGCATAGGGCAGGACGAGGCTGTGGTAGCATGCCAAGTGACAGCCTGCCCTGACAAACAGAACTCCTGCCTCTTCCTGCAGCCTTCAGCCATTGTCTTCTCGGGCCATCGGACCAGGCACGGTGCTGCATGTGCTGTGCACACAAGCTAACAGGAGGCAGGAGTGGACTGCAAAGAGAGACACACCCAAACCACCTGAAGAACAGTGAGCGAGCACAGTCAGATGCAGCTTATCCTGGTTACAAGACAGAGTAACCTGTGTGCTGGTTACCAGGTCCCAACCTAGAAAAAAAGCCCAGTTTCCAACTAAATACAGGCCTCAGCCCATCAGAGGGGAGGGGAAAGGAGCCCACAGGCAAAAATAAATAATGCAAGTAGCCAACCAACTTCAGAAAATTGCAGCTATCATCATCTGCACAGTTCTAATCAGTCCCTCTGCTTACCTGACTCAAGCCCTTTTCTGCTTCCCCTGCTTAGTCTCACTAATAGCTAAAGTCTAATTAGAATTAAGGAATGTAAATAGCAGCAATCAGGCAACGGCTCAGAGCCAGTTCTAATATCATGACTCAAACACTGTAGCCACCTCACTCACAGAGCAGTGGCCACCTTCTATCCTTTGATTCACACTAAATTACTGCTTAATTAAAATTAACTCATTGAGTTTGTTTAGTAAAAGAAGTTTAGTTCTGTATCAATCCCCTTATTGATTAGCATCACCCCTGCCTAGAGAGCTTGTTGGAAAATATGCATGAGGTCCATCCTTCTGAAATTCTAAGGACAGTATGTGGGAGGAAAACAATGTAATGTGCCAAACAACAAGCAACTCAAAGTACAGCAGCTCCTGTGAGGCCTGAAATACAGCACAGGTGTGTCACTGCACGACACGACACACAGGGACAGGAAATCATTAGGCCATATGCATTGATAATGAGTCCAACCCAGCCTCATCACAGGCAGAGCACACAAATGGTCAGACACCAGGGTGCCGAGGGTCCGATCTGTTAATAACAAAAGCTTTAATTAGCTAAGAAAAGAAACAACTGTCTATCAACCAAATGCTGTGGATAAAGAGCTCAGCCATCAGGTGACAGATGCAGTAGAAAACCACAGCATAGAGCAGGCAGGAAGGAAACAAATATTTTCAATGTAAAGTGACATATGAAACAGGAAATGTGGCCAAGTCGTTGCTGAGAAGGGCAGTCACGGCATCCTCGCCTGGGGCTTTGACTTGATACCAAGCTTCTGTTTTGCTGCACAACAGGCAGGCAGTGGATCAGAGTCCAGGATGCGGCCTTTTGTAGGCAGAGCCCATTAACATCTTTTAAAACTCACCGTGTTCTTGAAACCTCTGCCAGGTACTTGTGATTTCAGGATAACGGCCACGCCAAAAGCGCCGCGTCTGAAGTTAACAAACTCAAACACACTACCAGGCTGTTGAAAGTATTCATCCTCTCAGATCGGGCTATAAAGGCAACTTCAAAAGTACACTTCTTAAAAAGGATCCGGCAGAAGTTCAGAAATGAGAGAATAATTAGGGGCTTGAAAAATCTCTCACAGGATGCAAGAGTGGAAAGATGGAAGTTGCTTACCTTAGGGAGGAACTACAGGAGAAAGGCATGATAAAATAATTAGAGGTGTAAAGAAGATGATGTGAGGCACTACAGTCCTCCCCTTCTTCTAACATACAAGGGCTACACGATGAAAATAACAGAATTCAAGGCCAGGCATTGTATGAAGTTAACAAAAACAGCTGAGCTTGTATAACCATTGTAACCACCTGGAAGGGAAACAAAACCATGTGATGTGAGGTTTAGCTGGACCAGAAGGTATTAGTGAGAAGAGTAACACCAAATAGTGGTGGATTCATTCCCTGTGAGCTCCTTCCTTGCCCCCTCTTCTGAAGCATCTAATCCCAGCAGCTGACCAAAGTCAGTCTCAGGACCAGCTCAGCTTGACAAGTCCAAACTCCCAGAAAAACCTTCTGCCTCATCACAGGGATGGAGTCAAAGATGCTGAGACAAAGCACAGAGGAAACCTGAGCAGTTTTTAGTGATGCTACCAACAGGCAGGGTATGAGGCTTCCTAGGAGACGTGTCTCTGGATGAAGAACCACAGGTCACCCACCACCCTTCAGTGACACGTTTGTAACACACCAGACCTCAAACGCCCGCAAGGCTGTCACTTCAACTGGCCAGACAGTTGTATTTTTTCCTTAACAAAATTACAAATTGCTGTCAAGTTTTTAACAAATAAATTGAGTTTCATTCTTTAAAAAGGAATGTTTTTGCTGGTAATTTTGTGTTAACTATAAGAGAGTCCAAACGATATCCCTCTCAATGCCAGCTTGCAAGGCAGCACTAGGATGAATTACAGCAGTCACCAAAATGCTTTCCTAAAAGTCAAAGGTCAACCAAGCACTGGTTCCAGTCACTGTGAACACTGCACAGCTGCTCTGTGGGAAATCCAGCCAGCTGTAAAGCCATTTCAGCACCTAAATATCATCAGCAAAATTCAGTACAAAAGGATCCTAGCAGAGGCCTGTAAAATACAACATTAAGTGCAAACATGTGGTTTTTTTACTATACACAATTACACACGAGAACTGACAAATTATCTTTGCGCCCTGTTTTAATATAATAATCCAGCTCATTTCATATGTAATAAATTCATTAGGCTTTGGGGTTTTGTTTTAAGTTACAAGATCAAGCTTATTTTAACAGAATTCATTTAAATACTGCACTTTTAGCAATTAATAATTTCACAGTTCTGTAAACACGCTTCACTGCGCCGTCTGACCTTTGAGAGGTTTGGCTTGGTGAATTCATACCAGCTTCCACCACACGTTTCAGAAGGCAGCTCACAACGCTGCCTGCAGAAACATGATACAGGAGGATCACACCGCAAGCAGCTATGGCGTGGGGCCTTGCCCTGCCCAGTCCATGGCACCTTCTGCCTCACTGCACGCAAAAAAATCTGCATTTCACATCAGAGTTCCAGGTCCTGCAGGTCTCCCCAGCTGGGTCCAATTTTCACTTTAACATTCAGTTTTACCGAGAGTTTGACGGCGTTTTCCATCTCATGTTTGACAATCTGAGCGACCTACAAGAAAACACTAAACATCAGATGTACACGTAACTTCAGTGCTGTGTTTTCCTGTCAACAGCTGGGGTGGGCAGACACCTGGAGTCCTCTCCTTCATTTATTTGCACTTATTTACCACTGGTGGGAATGCAACCAAAAAGATTACTTAGAAAAGAGGCAAAATTAAGTTTCCATTAAACACTAAAGAGTCCTGCAGAGTCTCCTCTTTCATCCAGCTGCATAATTCACAGTCTGTTCTGAAAACCTCAATGTACTGAAAGCAAGACACAAACCAAATACACCAGAGGCAAAGAACAGTGTTGCTCCTCACTGTGTCAGCACAAGAGGCACTCTGTGAAACACAAACTACAAAACTCTGGCAGAGCAG